TTTAGTTCTACTCTTTTTTTTCTAATTCAATTGCCCGTCTAAAATTATCACCTCATCCTAGTTGACCAAAATTACAAATTTTCAATTTTTTTTATTAAATTTCAGAAATTTCAGACATGAGATCCCTAATTCTCGGCTGTGTATACACAGCTGAAAACACCCAGAAAGTGCTGTTTCCAGCCATCTGGGGGCTTTTAGATTCCAAAAATTTTCTGGCACACTCCGCGCCAAACGATGGTGGCGCTCCACTTAGATAGTCCTGCCGGCACTAAAACCATCCTGGGCAGAACCCTGCCCATGAATTTATTCCAAGTCTACAGATACCCATCAGTATCTTCACTCATCCTGCTGTCACCCTAGACACTGCAAGACTGGTATTGCATACAGCCAAGCACCCAGGCTGACACACATTTGTTCCAATGATTCACATTTCTCCCGTCATACACAGGAACTGAAAAGGCATCAGGGGCCAATTTCATAAAGCTGCTTAAGCACCAAATTTGCTTTAGCGCAAAAAAATTTGCTTAAAAAACAAAGGTTATCAGCTCAAAATCTATATGATTGCCGTGTTGACCAAATGACTGGTGAATACCATTCCAAAACAATATACATCATATGGAGTTTTGGCTGGTAACCTGATTTGTCAAGCAAGGTTTTTTCACGCCTAAGCAGATTTTGTGCTTAAGCAGCTGTATGAAATTGGCCCATGATTGAAAGTTTAAAGCTATATCAACAGGGCCTGCTCTGTCCCCAGAAGTCTTGCTCTCATGGAGAATACCCCCCTCAAAGGAACCATCCTCAAGGTTCCCTTGGTCACCACTTTTCATCCTTGTCTTCTTCCGCTTTGCAAAATAATTAATGACAATCCTCATATCCTCCACACTTCAGATTGCCTTGTCAGTGCCATCCCAGACATCCTGCTTGTGGCCTACATGTTCGTGTACAGGCATCCCCCAAACCCAGGGGATCTGATCGTTCGGGTGGAGGTCCCCTCCTTGGGTACACTCCCCCCCTCCCAGCATGGCACCTTCAAGTGTGATTCTAACAGATGTGTTGTTTGCCAGAACCATGTCTTGGAATCAGACACATTCTCTAGATACTCCTCCGGTACCACCCAATGAACTAAAGGCACCATAACTTGTAGCTTTTCTCATGTCATATGTCTTATCTTTTGCTGGGTGTACACTGTTCAGTATGTTGGAGAGACTAAAGAACACTGTCAAGAAGCGCTTCTATGGCCACAGCTCTATGGTCAGCACCAAGCGACTAGATACCCCTGTGGGCCATCACTTCTACCCTCTTAACCATTCCATTTTTGACATGATATTACAGGGCATAGAATCACTGCTTTGGTCCATGCTTGGTTGATTTCCATTGATCATGACCATTAAGAATGACATGTTTACTGTGAGTAGGCAGTCAACTTGACTCAGTAGCCAGTTTCCAGGTGGAATACATGTACACGTACATGTATGTGATTGGCAGCGCATTCTGCAAATGCCCAAACAGAGTTTTGGGTAAGTTTTAGGTTTGAAAACAGAATTGTACCTTCATAATAAGACTAATGTGGAAAAATCAGGAACTAATCTGCGTACAGGTAAACCAGATTTTGTTTAAACATTTGGATGTAATCAGGCAATATTTGATGTACAAGCAAATGTGCACCTTTGCTTTTTCCAAAAATAATAGACACACACTGTGCTCATCAAAATCATCAGGTTTCATCTTTAACCACTTCCAAACTATGAGACAGAAATACATGCACAAGTCTACACAATATTACATGAATGGCACTTTGTTCAACATACATTCAGAATGAGATAAATTCATCAGTTTCTGCCAATTACCTTGGTCATGACAGGAAGTAGGCTGTGTTTGAAATACTTGGCTACTGTTGATATAACACATATCTGTTGAAGCCGCCATCTTGTTACGGTTTCCGTAAAAATAACCATTTTATTTTAGAAACCAAAAAAATATGACTTCTCTCCCTCAGACATTCAAATTTCACACAATTTTCAAATGTACATAAATGTCCATAGATCCTGTAGAAACCTATCACATTCTCACCATATGCATACATGTACATGTACAAGTTTGTACAGAAATATAGGGTACCGGTAAGTAATGTACCTGTCAAGGTCATGGAAGAAACAAGTCTACAGAATTGTTCATTTGTCATTGGAACTAGCTCTCATTGTCTCAGGCATGATAACTCATGCCATTGTTGACTACCAAGGCCACTGTAGATTTGTACTGCATTTTCAACCTTGCTACATTCACGAGAGCCAGAGTAAAGAGTCAGTGGGTTGATTGCAACCTTATCTATTCCTGTCTTAAGTATCATTTATTTATGAAAGCTCATCTTTTCATGATTTCTCCAGTACAATCTTTGCAAGCGGAAGCTGCAAGCTAAGAAGGATGCCTTGCTAATCCTTGCAGAGGAGCTAGACAATGTACGGCAAGAGAAGGATGCCTTCCGTTTAATGGCTGAACAGCTGAGAGAGAAATACCAAGCACTCAAGAAGCAGTGTGCAGACAGGGAAAGGGTTTGTTATTAATGTCTTGAACTTGATCATTTAACCCTAGTCCCCTAAGCAGTGTTGCCAGACATCATCCTTTTTCTTCCCAAATCATCCGCTCAGCTCTAATACAATAGCACAGTCATTGTACCGTTACCCATGTAAAGGTGTACATCCACTCTACATGTAATTGTACCCGTTTCAATTCAGATAAATCCTTCAATATTCCTCTGGGATTCTGATGGATGTTGGAGGGTAAGGGCTAAAGCAGAACTACGTTTGTGTTGCAGTTTGTATGGAGAGACTTAGCCTTGCAACATGTAACCCCAGAAACATACTGTACAGTCATGTGAATTGAGACTGATCAATAATGTGATGATGTGACCTTAAATGGCTGCTTTCTATACTTTACTGATAATGTAACAAAACTGAGATACAGTAGTGAATGAAAATTGTACTTTTGGTAAATTATACATCCAGATCACCTTTCCAAACTAACCAGTAATTTATTTATACTCAATAAATCATTTCAGGCTTCCTAAGCTAACCTGGCACTTGGATCAGAATAATGTAGTCACCATTTTGATTTGGAATTATTCACTGATGTGGCATGTGGCTTTTATTTAAATATTCTTGGCAGGCTTTAGGGTTGTCATTGAATGAGAGTGATCCACTGTCTGAGAGAAGAAACCATGTAAGTACTTCTTAATTTACTTGTATTGGCCCTACTTAGAATTTTGACAGACGTAAATTAAAATTAATGTCTCACAGATGTGATGCCAAAGGCATATAGCGCTTTCAGAAACAGGCTTCTTGAGAGCATGTCCAAAAAATTGGACAAGCTTTATGGAGATGGGATTGAACCCACAACGTCCTGCTTGCTAATGAAGAAGTCATCACCTCTGATACTGACAGGGTTGAACCACCATCAAAATTTACATGTAATAAACTATTTGGGGAGGTAGGTTGGTATGTTCTGTCCATGTTCAGGAGAATGCAGTCATCATCAAGGTCTCCTGACATCTCCTGAGGATACTGTCTGAAAAGTGTCCACAGATTCTGTTTACAACCCCATTCATTCACAAAAGATAAAGATGTCCATGGTGTTACCCTAGACTTTCATCAGATCATTCATCTTGTCAAGTTCTTCTTTGCTGGCATTTCACATGTTATGATATGTACATGTTGCATTGTAAATTTAGGAGAGTTAAAGTTTTCCAGCGTACATCTTAGGTTCACACAGTCCACAAAAAATGTTGAAATTCATTGTTCAGTTTTCAACTAATGAAATTTGTCAAAGTCAGGTGCCAATGTGTTAGTACATGAACAATGTACGTGCTCCACTTAATCCATTGAAGTCTTTGCATTAGACAGCATTAATGGCATTCATGAGCAGCTACTAGTAACGTACATGTATTCCAACATGCATTTTCTAACTGTCATATCAAGTGTGTGAGTGCATATATGTGTACTTGTAATTTATATTTATACAACAATCCACATTGACAGTGGAATATGATAACCACCATCTGTCTGTTACAAAGTCCAAATATAGGGTAGTAGTAAATGTCACTACTGTGAATCTACATGTACATGTAATGCATACGTGGATTGTGGCACATCATTTCGTTTTACATTCACTATTTGTCGTGTATTTATGTACATATTGATGTGGGGTTAAAATTACATCAAGTATTTCAGGTTCAAACACTATTTCAGTGTTGACTACAGGTATACCTCATACAAGGACACCAAGTAGAGGAAACATTTTGTTAACTTGTCATTACCAAGGAAGAACATCAGAACCTGAAGGATTCCATTTAATTCAGCACGATTCACTTTTTGCCATCACTGAATTCTGTTTGAGTCCTGAGAATATATTAAAAAGACAAAAGGATTGGGATAGTGGTCACAATATGTGAACCTAGGTGGTTTCAAACAGTCCTACATCACACTGTATTTAGTACATCCATCCATTCATGTTCATTAAGATTGTAATTTAAAAGTGATATTGCATCGTTTACTTGCCATGGTTACTCCTCATAGAATATCCAGGGCTTGAACTGAATATTTCTAGCAATTGCAGATTGTCTGCAGTCTTTTCCTTTCAAGGATATAAGCATGCTGCCGTCACACAAGTGTAGCTTTGCTTTGTAAACTTTGAGCACATTGCTTGCAGGTTATCCAGTTGGAAATATCAATGTGACGGTAACCTTTGTTTTGCAGAGTTTGGTTCAGGTCTTACGAGAGGCAAGGGAGCAGAACAAGAAGGCAGAGGCTAGAATTGTCGACTTGGAACAGAACTTGGCAGAGGCACAGGGAGACATCAAGGTACACAGTCATGTATAGCCAATGAGACAAAGAATGAAGTTCATAAACTGGTAATATCAGTTGATAATTTTGATCATGAAATTTGACATTCAAGTACACTATCTTATGTGTTACAAAACTCAACAAATTGAATTTGCTTACATGGGTCCTAATACATGTACAGATAGAATGCCAAGATAAGATTGGGGATACTGAGCGACTGATTCCAATGATTTAAAAATAAAGGCCAGTTAAAGTTAAGTTAGGGGTTTACCTTGCCATGTGGGGGTCGTGTTTTTTGCCAATAAAGCATTTTTTCAGACATATTTTTACCAAATCTATTGTTTAAATGACTTGCATGCAAACAGCTTAACAATTTTGATTTGTGCATAGTATACTAGCTAGTGTGTAATGCCATGGCATTGTAGCATTGATATCATGTCAATTTGTCATTGCTCCTAATCATGTTTCACGTTTTACTTTAGCTTAGTTTGTGTGATGTGGACTTTGGCCTCCCTTAATTCACTTAGGATAAGTGGAGGAGGAATTCATGAAACATGAAACCTATCATTTCCCGTCCCATTGATTTTTTTCAGTCTGTAAACCCAATCTAAATGGATATTACACTAGGTGTGAATGACAGACAATTCACATGTGGCCGATTTTACCAAGTTGTACAAGTATTTATCAGAATTTTGTAGAATTCTAACAGAACTTTTAGTATGCTAAATCTTCTTCATGATTTTTTTCACCACTAGGCATTAAATAGTATCGTAAAAAAGAAATAGGCCTGAGTGATGAAAGAAAATCGATTTGGCCAATGTAGAGACTGTCTTTGAATGGCAATGTACATGTCAGCCCTGCGGCTAAATTACTGCAAAACGAAATCTACATGTAAATCACCTCAGTACTGAATAATCCTTCTATGGACCCTGTTGTGTTTGTTATAGCAATGTTATACTGTATTTGGGTTTGTAATTTTGTTCAAGTACGTGTAAAATATATGTGTGTGTTCATGGACATTTGTTCAGTGGTACTCATGTACATGTACATAATACAACAGATCACTTGATTCTTTGAAGGTAAATTTTGTTGGTTTTAAATTTCATGTACTTTGTTATCAGTATTTTACTTATTTTGTTTTACTGGTAAAAGCTTTTGAGAGAGAACATAGCGAGGCAAAGAATAGGAGATGATGGAATTGGAACCAGACACTTCCCAGCACATGAGAGAGAAGAGCTGGTCAACCAGCTAGAAGCTGCTAGGGAACAGGTGAGATGATCTGGTGGAAGGTAGATTGAATTGGTGGAATGAGGGATGCATTGATTGGTGGGATACATATAACTGTACTGATGTCATAGCACTAGGACGGTAAACTTTTACAACATTGATTGTGACCATGGCTTTGATATTTCAATTTACCTTTTAGGTCCAAAGCAATGTAAAAGTGCTGATGTCAATCAACAGGATTTATTTGTGGCCAGGCTATCAGATGTACTGTCTGTTAAATTTGGATTTTAATCTCAGGAAATCGTTATTTATTCTGCTGTTACCTGAACTGTTTCTCCCTCCAGGAGCTTTGTGTAAATGCCATGGTCAATTCTGCATTATTGAAAACAGGTTTAAGTAATACTCAGCATTTTCATATTGGGGGAGGGGGAAGTGAAATTATACACAGGATCAGAACATTCCAAGGTTTTTTATGCATGGACTATATCCTGGCCCCCAGGTTAAAATATAACCTTTATCATCTATGGCAAAGTGTGGTAAGGTCATTTGGTTTCAGCTGCAAACTGAGACATCCAGATAATTTCCTTTTTATCCTCCATCACTACCAGTTGCTACAAATATATTAAGAAATGTGAAACAAAATTATTTTGAATGATTTTAAAAAATATTTCATCCATTAGATGTTTATAGATTTTAATTATCTTTGAGTTGCTTGTGTATGTTGAATGTACACTTTGATATCTGACGGACTATTCTGCTATGTCAACCTTCTTATTCAGCTTCAGGCACTTGAGCGAGACCTTGTGGCTAAGATCGATGAACAAACTGAGCTGGTGACTGAGAGAGGTTACTTCCGAGATAAAGCAGAACGTCTCAATCAGGAACTTAATTATGTCTTGGGAGGAGATGAGAAGAGAATTGTTGATATAGACGCACTCACCATGGAGAACAAGTAAGTAACTGGTATAAAAGCATTACTATTTTGCATTTTTAAAAGATTTCTAAACAGTTGACTAGGTCTACTAAGATGAGTCCCAATGGTTACAAATATTAAAAAACTTAATGACAGACAAAACACAGTTCCTGATAATGTTGCTTGTCTGCATTGGATTTAAACATGCTTCTTTGTGAAGTTCATTAGGTTTTCTCCGTTTATAATGAACTTACTTGAGTCAGAGCTTGAGTCATCAGACGCTTTGTCTTCTCAAATTGGATTTTGATTTCTTATTGCAAGTTAGACATAATGTGGCAATATTCATCCTGTGTGCTGCTAGACGTTCATTTTGCTGTGCCCTTGCAAACTGCTGGCAGCCTAGCACAGTACACCTACTCAGTTTGAACAGGGGCTGCTGAGATAGTAGTGTTAGGGTATGAGAACAGTGACAGAACATAGTGTCTTCATTCTGTGGTTCACTACTTACAACTGCAAAGCAATTAGTTTGTTTGTGTACAGAAACTGGAAAGGGTAATGCAAGAAAGAAATTACTTTGTAGGTGTGTACAGTCAACGTATGAATGCCTGTCCAATGTGTAATGTTACCATACCTGATACTGTCACTGGTCCATGTCTGAGGTATGGTAAAACGAGTAACACAATTTATTTGGAGTGGACAGTTGATTTGAGTTTCTTGGCATTGGAAGTTGACAAACTTGTTCCCTAGGTAAAGCCAAGGGAACTGTTTTGTCAACTTCCTTGTACCAAGTACAGGGACCTTGGGGTGGTGAAATCGAATTTCCACCCTCAAACCGTTTCATGTATGTCACTTTGAAATGTGTCACTGTTTTTGCTTATGTACTTAGTAATAAGCATGTGAGAACAGTTTGAAATGTGTATAGGAAAAAAAATTTGCTTGATAGTAATTAACCAAGCCTTGGAGCTGAATGTAACCAAAGAAGTGTATCTTATAAACAAGTATATCATGACCGCCTTCGCATGTATGTACATGTACTAGCAACGTTTTTTCTCATGAGCGTACAGATGTTGATTTGTGCTTTTGTGCGGTATTTTGTATGATGATTTTGTATGCATCCTTAATGTAAATGTACATTCAGGTATTTGAAGGAGAGATTAAAGCAGGCTCAGGAGGAGAAGAGTGTAGCCCAAGCAACTGTTGCTAAATACAAGGTAAAGGGACCTGAAACTGATCATATTAACCACTTCCTACCAGGTGACCCATTTTCGAGTTTTCGGCTTTATATGCAGAGCCAGGGAGCCCGCAACTGGGACAAAAGAGTTGGGCCTTATAACAAAAGACCGTGCTCAGCACAAAAGACTGAGCTGCTGGGCATTATCGACATTTTTTCGCTCTCAATAGTGGAGATAATCCAGCCTGGTTTTGAAACAGTATATCACCGTTTGAGGCATTTAGAGCGAGTGGATTTCCACCAGTGACAAAAGCTCTCCACCACCGCAGCGTGATGAGCCACACAGCACCGCTGCATGCTAATCTGGAGGTCAGCAGTGCACTGTGCCGGTTTTGGAACAATCTAGGCTCTTTTTCCAAGGCTGCAGGCCTGGCTGAAACATTCAAAAGTCAATGAAGGTTAACTTTCAGGTGTAGAGTAGTGCCCAAAGAGTCCTTCATGTGGGTATAAACTGCCATTAAATGAAATGATGAATTTTTGAAGAATTTTGAAAACATAAAATCTTGAAAAGGACCCGGCTTCAACAAAAATCTACCCCGCAGCAAGTGGTTAACATTTTCAACAAAGTAATTCATTCAGTCAAAATCAGTCAAGTGAAGTGACATGTGTCTGAGGCAAGGAACGTGGATTGAATTTTTGATTGTCTGTCACTATTCTTACAGTAGGTAGATTAAATTGTCAGTGAAAATACTGCTACATGTATATAATATGCTTGCTTACATCCCAGTGAAATCTATAGCTGAGTAACTATTTCCAAGCTGTCTACTTGTACCTGTTGTTCCCAAATGTGCTAGAATTCCTGCATATGGAACACTGCGTACACTTACTGGTTGGTGCCCATAAACTGAGTAGGGAGCAATTGATGAAGAATAAATGACCAGTTTTTAGCTGAGTTGGCACACACTTGTAGTGTCTGTGTGTGCTTTTCAATGTGCCCAGTGGCAATGGTGTTCAGTATTCTCATCTTTACAAACACAATCTCATACAGGTGTTGTGTGGGTTCTGAAATAAAATGTGGATAGCCGTGTTTGGG